ATCAAGGAGCCGTACTCGACAGCAAGCAGCACTACCTCCGGCCGAAGACATCCCAGGTAACCACTGGAGGAGGAGGAGCACCCGAACCTCTTGGGCAGCCAGAGGTGAGGGTGTTTCCAAGGCCCCCAGTGGGCTGTACCCTCGTGGCCCGTAGGCAGTACTCTGGCAGGGTTATCATTATCAGCGCGCTATCATTCGCCGCCTCGGCGGTCGCACGATTCAACGCGTTCTGCGAATCGCCAGACCACAGTTCCACTCGATGTCATCTCGATGTGCCAGTCGCCGTACGGCGTACTATTGTTCAACTACGCGGACTCTGTTGGAGATGCTTGAGGCATCGTCACTCATCTCGCTCTTGTAGCTATCCCTCGTGTCGCGTCTGCAGAGGTGATCACCACGAGATCCTCTGCAGTAAGTCGTCATCACACGGTCATCAATCTAGGAGAGATTGGCGTAGTGATGAGTATCGTCACCGGACCGTTACCGCCTCATGGGCGATCCCTATCCGCAGCAAACGCGCATGCGATGCTTCCTTTGCGGCGAGCACCATTACTCCGCGCAGTGCGGCAACTATCCATCCCTCGCAGAGAGGATCAACACGCACGCGCGTAGGGGAAACTGCTTCCGCTGTGGGGGGCCGCACGTAGACGCGAATTGCCCGGAAGACGTAGGGCGCGTGATGTGCAAATGCTGTAGAAGAACCACGCATCATACCGCGTTCTGCTATCGCAATCAGCACGTCTTCCGGGACGTCAACTTAGAAAGCTATTGGGGGCGTCTGCGTAGGGCCCGCCGCATCGCATGTGCGGTTCGCGACGACATGGCCGAGCAGGAACGACTCGCCTACGAGCGACAACACCATCAGTCGCCTGAGGAATCGCCAGAGAGAGCGTAGCCAACGTCACCGTAAGCCCTTGCTTAGGCAAGGCAACCATTTGCTCACGTAGTGAGCGCTGCTACCTTCGGGTAGCCCCCTGGGGAGCGGTGGGAGACCGCTATTAACTTTTTTCTTGTCCCTGGGTATTTCTTTTTTTGCCTTTCCCTTAACTGGCCCGTGGGTTCTTTCGCTTAGCGAGGTAAAATTCTCCCCCTCGCACAAAATTATCCCCTTAGTGTGAGGCAAAACTCACACCGTAGGCACGGAAACCACCCGCAGTTGTTGATTCTTCTCGTCGCCGAACACCGTCAACGTCACGCTATCAACATCACGTTACACGTCGAATCCAACTGTGCCGTCGCCTGTTCTACTACGTCATGTCGAGTTTATCCGCCGTCGTCAAGAACATCCAGTGGTTATCCGATAATGCCGTAGTCTACACTTCATCGTCGCTCCCGTCGATCGTAGTGTGTGTATATATTGTTGTATATTTGTATAGTTATGTAGGTAATATATTGTATAACTGAAGCAAAGCCCTGGAGCCAATCGTCAATTCCATCCCCACGAACCCTTGCCTTAGGCCCAGTAGGTCGTCCGTCGATTGACTGACTGTGTCTGTATTCTAGTGGCGTAGTCGCCGAGGTAAGAACGAGGCGTGCAGTACCTAGCGTAGGCCAGGACCCATTCGTCTTCTTGCTCACCCTAGCTAGGTGGCTCTAACGAGGGAGGCTGTCGTGACTTTCGTACGACTCTTTTTAAAGGGTCGCGTTATGGGGCGCGCGACGGTCCTGGCGCGCTTAGCGGCTACGGTCCGAACCTCCAGA